TTTGTGAATAAAGAATAATAACACCTCGCGTTTGCTCAACAAAAATACGAAGAATTACTTGATCAATGCCGAGGTTAATAAAAAGTCGGTCGTGGGAGTTACGAAATAACAATATTAACTTTTTATTCACTGCCTATTACAATATTTCACGGCAGGGTATTATGTGTGATACAAGCATAACGGTGCTGAGGTATTTGCAAAACTATGGGCCGCAGGTGTCAGCAGTGAAGAACGAACGTGCTATAACTTTCTCCGGGTGCTAACGCGTTCACCGCCACACCATGTGTCTCCTTCGCTTCGCCTTTCTTTCGGCTACCACAGTTTCGTCTGCCACCGGGTAGTAGCACGTTCATCCTCCATCGCAGACACCTGCGCTCAGGAGTTTTTCAAATATCTCTGCACCATCATGGTTGTATCATATTCATAGTTTTAACTGCTAGTAGATATATGCGTCTTATTAGCGGTTACGGTTTACAGCACATATTTTGGCATGTGATGACGAAAGCAATGAATGATATAACACTCCAATATTTCTCTTTCAATAGTTTTCGTGTATCAGCCCTACACATGGAAATCTTACGTTTTTCCTTCTAACATATACATTGCTTTTATCATTTTTCATAACTCTTCTGTGTTCTGTCGTGTCATTGGCATTTTCTCAACACATCAACTTTCGTTTTTTTTAAGAGTTTACCTTCCGCTTGTAAAGAACAGCATGCTCAATACAGATGTTAACACAAGGATTGCTACAGAGAATTAGATAATTCAATGATTGACGAAATGGAGTAGAAATGGATAAGAGTAGTAGTGTTACTTCACATCTATAGTTATCGAATAAGCTGCATTTCGACGACGGACAATCCCTCGACGACACTGTCAGCGGTTACATTGTATTTGTCTGCTTGAAATAAGGTTGGTTTCACAGCTTCCACAGGAAGCGATGTGATGAATCCCTCTTCCTCAAAATAGATCTTAATTTATCGACTCGAACTTGCCGTAAAAAAGTAGTTGCATCTAAAGATAAGAATACCTCCTCGCTGACATTATCCTCGACCGGATTCAGCAGTTGAACCACATCATCGTCCTCTTTTCCCTGATGCCACACCACCTGGACTGTAGAAGAATTGTTGCTGAAACGAAAAGTTCGTATCCTGTGATCGGTTGTGAATGATGTCATTCACTGTAAATCATGGTTCCTGTCAAGGCTAACATTATGCTTTCAGTTGTTCGTCTCTCCCAACAGTTTACCGCCTCATCGTGGCTGGGAAGTGGTCCTGGGTGTCGGGCCGCGATGTACAGCGGAGGATTCATCCCTGGCATGGCCTCCCAAGCTGAGAAGGAGTCCGACGTTTCCATCAGGAAGCCTAGCTAAGAGAAAATCAATGCTATGATCCACCACCCGTTCTGGTATCAAAGTGGCATTGTGGCAAATCTCCTTTTGATCCACAAGGGCGGCGACTGCCTGTGGTGGTGACGACCTCCAGAAAACTCCGAATAAATGAGAGTATGCTGGGGCCCGTACAACATGTGAGGACCGGGCATCCAAGTATCCAAGTTGTTTGTCGGTCGGAGACGCTACCGAGTGGATCATGAATCGTACGGAAAACCTTTCCAGTGGTAGTAAGTTCGACTATTCGTAGTCATTGATGCTAAGAGATTCGGCGGTAGTGTTTTATTTGAAAGAATTAATAGCTAAAAAGGAAGTCGGAAGGCACATAGAGAACTTGTTGAAGATGTTTGCTTTTAATTCTTTAAGGTTCAATATCACAACTAATTCTACGAAAATTTGCTTTCCATTCGTGAAAGAGGATGCTAAGATATTCGCATTAGCAAATCACGGAAGTTGAACCTATTTATAAAGTCGAAGGCACCGCTTATATTCAAACGTTTAGTCGCCAGCGGCATAGAATATGAACCGTTGCTTCGGAAACCAATTGGAACTGCAAATCGCAAGTATGAAGCCGGCAACGTTTGTCAAAATCTATCGAACATTGTCACAATTTATGAGCGACGTGACTGATCTGTATTACTTTGCACCATAGTGAACTGATGCATTCTACCAAACAACGATGTGTGGGAATAAACCAGTAAACCGTAGGAAATCCTTCCACGAAAACCGACGCTGGGAAAGCCTCATTATGGTAGAGCAATGTTGTATTGAGAACTGATATGTTATTGGCTTTTACAAAACTTATTTCCTCGTTTCAGACAACGACGTCTTTTAAGCCAAGCCCTCCGTGGACATGGCAATTTGCATTTAAATCGATATTTTTGAGCTCAATTACGCATGTGGAGTTGCGGAGTCCACCCGCCTTGAAAGTAGAGAGGAGCCTCCCACATCAGATGAAGAGTCACTGACGCTTCTTTCTATGGAAGCAGGACCATCGAGGCAGCTTGCAATTGTCAACATCTCATTTCAGGAGGTGACCGTTAAGGATCGAAAAGAATAGCATAGGTTTCGAATGCTTAATGATGGCGAACATGGGTTAGTGGAGAGCCTGTTGTCATTAACGATGACTACTACGCTTAATGGCTTGATACCTTCCCGAAGGAAATACCGTGGGTAAAAAAAAATTACGGAAACTTCTAATGAACTAAGACGCTGTACGTCATATATTTTGGAGAAATTACAAGACAAAAAGAGAACTCATTTCTTAATACGGTTAAAATATCCTGTTAGAAAACTGTGAAAATTACAAGTTTCCCATGCTCGACGGATGGAATTTCCGAAAACGAGTTCCTGAATCTTGTCAAAACTCCACGATTTTTTTCTTTACATTACCCATCTTCACATACTATGGATTCCCCAGCACTGCTTCTATGCAGTCCACCCAACGGTTTACCAACTCATCGTGGCTGGAAGGTGTTCCTGGGTGTTCGACTGCGATGTACAGCGGGGAATTAATCACCTGGCAGGGTCTCCCAAACTGAGGAGTCCGGCGTTTTCATCAGGAAACCTAGCTAAGAGTAAACCAATACCAGGGTCCACCACCGTCTTGTTATCAAAGACGCATGGTGGCAAATCTCCCTCTGATCCACAGCGGCTGCGACTGCCTGTGGCGGTGAAGAGCTAGGGCAGACTTTGACCAGGCTGACCTCGGGACTCTAGGGAACCATAATGGCTTAGAAAGGAAATTTCCGAAAAATGGAGATTATGCTGGGACCCGGACAACCAGTGAGGACGGGCCATTCAAGTATCAAGTATCAAGCTTCTATTCAGTTCGTTCTATCCATCATTGATAAAGTATTCAGAGTTGTGCGCTAGTTTAGCTGTTACTTAAGGCTTTCTGTCTTTTTCATGAATGTCGCGGAGTTATAGCCAAGTCGATTCTCCCTAAAAACCTATGGTACCCAAGTTGCAGCGTTGGCAGCGTTGTTAAACTACAGGCAATTGCCAATTTTTTCAATTGGATGGAGATGTTCCAGGAGAGTTAGATGGAGAGGATTCTTCGTTGATCCTAAGCTGGGAATCGAACCGGCAACTACGTGTTTTTCAAGCATCTCTAATCGCTGTATTTCTCGCTACTATAGCACACTTGCAATCCATTCGAAAGAATATTGTCATGACTTCAAAAAAAAATTCACCGGTCTTCATCTGTATTACTTCTCGAGGACACTGCCACCGCAATCAGGACGAGGAGACAAAAAGTGACGAGTCCGGCAATTTTCGAACCTAAACATTAGAAAATTAAACTTCGGAAACAGCACAAATATGAATGCGTCGTTTTCTTGTTCAGCAATCGCGAGGTTTTTAAACAGCATACATTTACTTCCATATAAAAACACAACACAATACAGCGCTAACTGACGTTTCGGCAGTATCGCCTTCTTCTGAGTCTGGAAGGTATAATGATATACAATCTACTAGGCCAAACGCTTCGATACCACTTACAAAGAGACGAAAAACTCTACGGTAATTACTTGATCAACAGCTTCTCGAAAAACTCACCTCTTTTTTCGTGACTTCCAGTGAGGAAGTTTAGAACAGCTAACTATAGTCGCATATTGTTAATGACTGCAATACGTCCCACATCAGAAATTGATGCGAACATGCGGGGTCAGGTCGCGTATGACATCCGGGTATTCATCCCTGCTATTCATTGCAGGGTTTTTGGCATTTATCCAAAAAGCCTCAAGAAGTTTTTGCCCTGGTGTTTTAGTTTCCTGTGCAAGGATATTCACTTTACTTCAAAATCGTCTCCGCTGTGCTTTTGTATCCCATAGCGGTTACGAACTAACTAACGACGTAGAGTAGCCGGTGGTATTTCGACTATCGCTACCGATTCCTCTAGACCTACCCTTTTTAAGCATCGTTTTATAGCTACGCTTAGTTCATCGCTTATAAAAGGCAACCTAAACGGGACTTTCTTTCGGCCAAGTTTTTCGCGTGGGCGAATCGATCTCCTTCCAAACTTATCTCGTGGGGTTACTATTTCGTAGCCATTGGAGATGGCTATTTGCCGAGCCAAATCGCGCGATTCTTCCTTCAGTTCCCTGGTAGTGCGCACAGAGGTGGCTGTTCGAAACATGTTTCTCATAGGCGCCCTCTTTGTGTGTGAATGGTGGGAAGAAAGGACATGAACGAGGATGTTCTTGTTACTTGGCTTTCGGTACCACTTTGTCAAGTAACCGCTACTTGATAAGTTTATTTGAACGTCCAAAAACGGAAGCCAGTTTTTTCTCGGTTTCTCCCGGGTGAACTTTATGTACTCGGACTGCTCGTTCAATAATTCAAAGCATTTGTCCATCTCCTCCTGCGTAGAGAAGACGACAAAATAATCACCTACATATCTGCAGTAGAGCAGTGGCCAATGACAGAGTAGTAGTAACATCTTAGTGATGCTACCCTCTATCGCCCTTCCTCTGAAAAGGAATATAAAAGTCAATACCGAAAGCTAAGCAATCAATGGGTCAGCGTGGTAAAGGCTGCAGGTTTAAAATCATCGGTTATTTTGCACTTCGAAATCGATAAACAAACATGTCTCGTGATTTTGTTCGTATTTTTTTGAGCAAACGCGAGGTGTTATTGTTCTTTGTTCACGATTAAGCTGACGTTTCGGCGAATTTCGCCTTCTTCAGAGCCGCTTTCTATGAGGTCTCCACTAAGTATGTCACGTAGAGACCAACCGCACAGAAATCACGTGGAAG